CTATCTATCATCTATCATCATTATCATCCCCCTCATCATCTATCTACATAAAGAGTTTAAATGATATTCACTGCATGGGTGGACAACACTGCTCTCAGAAGACACAGGTTATTAAATTAAAACCTTGATGCCTATGAGTTACAGTCAGGGAGATCCTTGAGGAACTCAAAACAACATAGGCTATTGCCACTGTTCTTAGTTGCCCTCCTTAACTAGATGGTAAGACCCTATTGCTGAAGATATCACTCACTCTGATGCAGGAGGACCTAAAGAAATGAAGCTGGAACTGATCAGGAAACTTCCTCCCTGCTGGTCATAGTGCTAGAAGGTGCTATTCAGCTGCTGGAGGAGAAGAGACATCAATGGTCTCACCTAGCGTTGGATCCTGCATGCTTCAACACTGACCTGTTGGCAAGAGGTGCCCACCAGTGCAATAGTGGCACAATGGTTATGGGGGTAGCAACCACTCTCCACTAGGATTTGAGGCCTGCTCCACAGGAGGGATTTCATGCTAGGTACTATAATCCTAGTCAAAAGTCCAACACAATAGGGATCATAGTCCCTAGGAGGGAACCTATTGCTGTTGTTTAACTAGATGGTCATGCTGTCAAATTTCCCTCTAAATACTTATGTCTATAGTCACAGATTTGTATCACTCAAAACTTTGGTCAGAGAAGCTTCTTTTTGCAGTGGGTAGTGGCTAATGCAGAGACTGATAACTGGTCAAAGCTCCAAACATAAGTAACTGTGAGTGCTCAGCTGTGGATGGAGTGAGCATCTCTATCAACTTCTCCCCATCCAGGCTCAGGAAACATCACAGAAGAGGGGGTGGAAAGAATGTAGGAGCTGGTGAACGGAGTGGAGAGCTGTGAAAGGCTGTCTGCTGGACATGACATGGATTTTGTACACATCAGTTCACAGCAGCTGTGGTTACCTGCATGAGACCTAGCAAACCCAGTCAAAATTCCAGCACGGGTGGGGGATGGACCCTCAAGCCTCACTCTTGGCAGAGCAGATACTGGCAGTTGATGGCCCCCAGTAGTGGCCCCAAACTCATGTGCATATAGGCTGCACTAATTGGACTCAGGGTTATTTTCTAGATTTTTGTTTTGTTTTGTTTTTTTGAAACAGGGTCTCCCTGTAGCTCCAGCTGTCCTGGAATTTGCTATACAGACCAGGGCTGACCTTGAACTCACAGAGATCTGGCTGGAGAGCTAGTAGCTCACTGGTTAAGAGTGCTTGCTGCTCTTCCAGAGGACCTGGGTTCAGTTCCCAACATCCACACTGGGGAACTCCTGTAATTACAGCTAGAGTCCTCTTCTGGGCCCATGGGCACCTGCACACACATGGCATGCACACACTTATAAAACACAAATAAAAATAAAAATAAATCTTAAAAGAAAGGAGGATAGGCTGGAGAGATGAGTCAGAGGTTAAGAGCACTGGTTCTCTTGCTGAGGATCCGGGTTCTATTCCCAGCACCCACATGGTGGCTAACAACCATCCATAACTCCAATTCCAGGGGATCCAACACCTTCTTCTGATCTCTGTGGGCATTGCACAACACGGGTGCACTTACATACATGCAGGCAATGCCCTCATACTCATAAAATAAAAATAGGGGCTGGAGAGATGTCTCAGTGGTTAAGAACACTGGCTGTTCTTGCAGAAGACCTGGGTTTGAATCCCAGCACCCACATGGCAGCTAACAACTGTCTGTAACTCCACTGTCCATAACTCCAGTTCTAGGGGATCAGACAGCCTTTTCTGTCCTCCGAAGGAATTGCACAACATGGGTGCACTTACCTATATGCAGGCAATATACACATACACATAAAATAAAATAAAAAATAATAGATAAAATATAAATAAAAAATAATTTTTTTTTTTAAAAAGGAGGACATAGGCCAGGCATACACCTCAATCTCAGCACTTGGGAGGCTGATGCAGGTGGGTCTCTATGAGTTTGAGGCACCAGCCTGGTCTACTTAGGGAGTTCCAGGCCAGCCAGGCTATATAGTGAGAGCCTGTCTCAAAAAACCAAACCAAACCAACCCAAACCAAACCAACCCAACCCAACCCAACCCAAACCAAACCAAACCTGTGGCAAATGATCAAGGAAGACATAAGATGTTGACCTCTGGCCTACACACACACACACACACACACACACACACACACGTGCACATACACGGACATGTGCACACACACATACACATATACACACATACACATATATGCACACACACATAGACATACACACATACACATATACACACATACAGACACATACATGCACATGTGCACATACATATATACACATACACAGGCATGTGCACAAGTACCCTCTCATGTGTGCACATGCAGATACACACATTAATGTGTGCACACATAAACTAAGTACATGAATGAATGAAGACGTGAAAGTCGACACTTGCCACAGGCAGGGGGTGGTGGGTCCTGGGTCCTCCCTGTCCCTCCCAGCTCCTCACTGTGGCCACCTGCTGCCTCTGGGCCCTGAGCCTCCCTGGCTGCAGTGTGGACCTGGCTGCCTTGCCCATCTCCCTCTGCTGGCCTCGTTAACACACTGAGGTTCCAGATCTTGGTTGTACTGTCACTTTCCTCTAGATCTTATCAGTTTAGTTGTTGGTCACCGGCCCTTAACTGGGTTCAGATTTTGTCTGTGATACCCCTACCATATGACCTAATTGTACTGGGTTTCAGTTTCCCAGTCTGAAGGCTGGGACATCACTGGGAGCAGTGACTGAGGTGTGTTCAGGAAAGGGGCCAGAGAAGCACCTGCCTTCGTTGTCAGTTTCTGTTTTGATGGGATTTGAGGGAGAACGTTGTTAAGAGCACTGGCTCACATGTGCAACCCTCAAGTTGGGCTAACGGTCTCAAAAACAGCTGCATCAGGCGGAATGTTCTGTTTTCTGAGACGGGGGTCTCACTAGGTAGCCCAGGCTGGCCTCACACTTGGGATTCTTCTGCCCCAGCTTCCCGAGTGCTAGGATTACAGGCTTGTACCACAACTCCTGGCAAGAATGTCTTTAATAAGACTTCATTCTTGTTCAGTGGGAAAGGGGTACTGTGGATGAAATAATAAATACATTTACCAATCAGCAATGTCTAAAACTGCATGCACATGGGAGCATTTGTGTTGACTAGAATGAGGCAGGAAAGCCTCATAGGTGAAATGAAAAAAAAAAACAAAACCAAAAACCGATAGTCATAGGGGCTGTGGAAGCCATGAGGGTGAGACTGCTGTGGACCAGCATTGTGTGAACCGAGTCTCACTGTAGAAAATTTACATGGAGAGAATTCTTATTTGCCATTTATAATCACGATCAAGAGGGGCTGGAGAGATGGTGTAGCGGTTAAGAGCACTGGCTGCTCTTACAGAAGACCTGGGTTCAGTTCTCAGCACGTACATGGCAGCTAACAGCTGTCTATAACTCCAGTTCCAGGAAATCCGATATTGTCTTCTGGCCTTGGAGGGCACTGCACACATGAGGTGCACTTGCATACGTGTAGGTAAGACACACATACCCATAAAATGAAAATAAAATAGAACAGATCTTTTAGAAAGATCACGAGGAATGGCTTCCTGGTGCGGGCAGAGATGATGGTGGTGACTGACTGGACTCTGGCTGCAGGAGAGGGGCCTTCTGGGAGTCAGCCAGCCTTAGAGTTGCTCAGGGGTAAGGAATCCCAACGACTGTATGGCCTCATCCTAGGACGACGGTGGTGGGGGAGGACTATGTGTTCTCTTCCAGTACTGGGAATAAGCTTCAGGTGTCTGCACAGAGGGTCCTAGGAGTAGAGGCTCTGCCCCTGCAGAGACGCAGATGTGACTGGGGCAGTGTGTTGGGTGGGGGGACGGGCAGAGGAGACTTCTTAAATAAGGAATCACAACGACTGTATGGCCTCATCCTAGGACGACGGTGGTGGGGGAGGGCTATGTGTTCTCTTCCAGTACTGGGAATAAGCTTCAGGTGTCTGCACAGAGGGTCCTAGGAGTAGAGGCTCTGCCCCTGCAGAGACGCAGATGTGACTGGGGCAGTGTGTTGGGTGGGGGGACGGGCAGAGGAGACTTCTTAAGGGTGGGTTTGGGGCTGGCTGGGTGGGGGCTGGGACTCCTGGACCTGGGGTTGGCAGAGCATGCAGCTATGCATAGCGGCCACCAGAGGGTGCCCAAGCACCGTCCTTTGACCACTGGGAAGTGCGCAGGTGGCCCAGACCTGCCCGGCCGTGTGATCTGACCCTGACAGGCCTCTGCAGGAGCCCAGGGCTGGGCCCGCTGGGCCCCAGGCCTGAACTGATACCCTAACCTTCATCCCAGCTGTGGTGTGGGGTTGTATGGGGACCCTTCAAGATCTGCTTCCTGCTCCCTGTCCTCTGCGGCGAGGTCCTGGGGTGGGGTGGTGGGGCCGGGGGCCCTCACTGGCTGCAGCCCATCGCTGGTGGGCTCTCCAGGGGTCAGCCCTCGTGGCTGTGTCAGTACTTTTCTCGTTGCAGTGGCAAATCCCCGGATCCTTAAGGGAGGAGTCCTTTGACTCATGGCTTCAGGGGCTCAGTCGGCAGTCACGTGGCTCCGTGTTTCAGGCCCACTGTGAGGCAGGACGGCGGGTGGGGGGCATTCCTCACGGCCTGGTGGACGGGAAGCACGGGAGCAGCACCACCACCCAGCCAGGGCAGGCTGCAGCCCCAAGCACAGACCCCCAGGGACCTCCACGTCCACCCACTGCAGCCAAAGCCCTTGGCGGAGGCCCAGATAGGGGTTTCAGTGTTAGGTCTGGCCATTTTCCCCAGAGGAAGTGGACGAGAAATGCTGAAACGGCGGAAGAGAATTAAAAAAATGTGAAGATTTGTTTACTAGTTTTAATTAATTTTATTTTATGTATATAAGTGTTTTGCCTGCGGAGGGACAGTAGTTAGCTGCCACCTTAGCGCTGGTAACTGAACCCAGGTCCTCTACAAGAATAGCCAGTACTTTTATTTATTAATATGGACGCTTTATGAATTTGCATATCATCTTTGCGCAGGGGCCTTGCTGATCTCTGTATAGTTCCAATTTTAGCGTATGTGCTGCCGAAGTGAACACCAGCCAGTTCTCTTAACTGCTGGGCCATCTCTCCAGTCCCGAGAGGGATTTTAATCACCGTGTCCATCTTGAGATGTTTGGGGCACCAACATGATCTTTAGGTTAAAGGAAGAGGAATGAGGGGCCTGTGTGACTGAGCTGTTGTCTTCTGTTGTCAACTTGATGCCCCTGGGAAGAGGGAGCCTCTATCAGATTGGCTTGTGGCCAATTTTTCTTGAATGTTGAGTGATGTGGGAGGGTCCAGCCCACTATGGTGATGCCACCCCTGGGCGGTTCTGGGTTGTATAAGAAAGCAGGTGGGGGCTGGAGACCTGGCTCAGTGGATAAGAGGATTAGCGGCTCTTGCAGAGGACCCAGGTTCAAATCCCAGCACCCACAAGGCAGTTAACAACCACCTGTAACTTGAGTTCTAGGGTATCTGATGCCCTCTTGTGGCCTCCATGGGCATTGCACAACACAGGTGCACTTACATACATGCAGGCAATACACTCATACGCATAAAATAACAATAATAAATAAAATATTAAAAAGAAAGCAGGCAGAGCACAGGCTATGGGAGCAAGCCAGTAAGCAGCCTCCATGGTCCATGCTTCAGCTCCTGCTTCTAGACCCCGGCCCTGGCTTCCCTCAGTGATGGACTTCTCACTTGGAACTGTAAGATGCAATAAATCTTTTTCTCCCCAAGCTGCTTTTGGTCAGAGTATCTTATCACAGCGATAGAGAAACATAGGAGGACATGAGCCGTCCTGGTCAAGGCATGGTCTGGCTGATCATTGTCTTGGTTCTGGGTGGACAAAGTCCTGTTACGAGGGACAAGCTGGTTCCTGTGTGTTGATTGCTCCTGCTAGGGTGGGTGTCTGTGAGGCTCTGTGTTCTGGAATCTGAGGTGACTGCTGGATCAGGACAAGGACTAGGGACCCCAGGTGCCTTTTCAGAGTCTGGAGCAGGACACTGAACAGGCTGGCAGCAGATACCTCAGTTCTTTCAGCCTGGAGACAGGCTGGGTCTCCTTAGGTTTTAGACAGATGCTTCTTGAATGATAAATGTGCCTGTGCCGAGGTTAGCAGGTGACTGACCCAAAGTAAAGGAGACAGATGTGGAATGAGGGCACAGAAGCCAGGCTTTCACCCTGCTTAGTTACTTCGGGGGCCCAGGTGAGGAATCAGTGCTTGTCATCGGAAGCTGTTTCTCAGAACAAACCACATCCCCTGCTACCATCCACCATTTCCTGGCCATGCCATCCCAGTATGAATCCATCCCCTCAGTCAGAGCCCCCATGATCTATCGCCCTCGCAGTGGTGGTAAGAGCACTCTCAACCCAGCCAAGTCAATGATGAAAAGTTCACCTTCTGCTAACCTGACACCCGGACATAACACCCAACACCTTATGGTAGCGGTGACAGAGCTTCCTCGTCATCTTGGGTCTCTGCGTGTCTGCATGGAGTGGGTCCCATGATCCAGGCGAAGCTTTGTTGGTGAAGACTGGAACTCCTGGGCTTCTGGGTTTCTGTGGCACTGCTTTGCCTCTCCTGTGAATACTCCTCCACCATGCTGAGCCCAGTTCCAGCCCCACAACAAATCCAGACACTGCCCACAGGCCGATCATGTCCTGGTGGATGGCACTGACACCTGACCCCACCCCAGTGTGTACCTGTGTCTGCAAGAAGCTGGCATGTCTGCCCAGGTGAGTGCTGGGAAGCTAAGGATGCCAACTTATCTGTGCTGTCCGCACGCTGCACCATTTTGTGTAAAAAAGATTTTAGAGACTTTAAAGACATTCAACACAGAAGGCATGCACTAGGCTTTAAAATTCTTTGCTATTTCCATATTATTCTGAGCGGAAGTGGCACGGGAGCCCAGTGTTGGAAAAGCAGCCTTAGGCCAGGCATAATGGCACACACCTGGAATCCCAGCACTCAGGAGGCAGAGGCAGGCGGATCTTTGGGAGTTCGGGGCCAGCCTGGTCTCCATATCGAGTTCCAGGTCAGCTGGGGCTACAAGGAGACCCTGTCTCAAAAAGATCAAAAAGATTAAAAAAAAAATTGAAAAAGCAGCCTGCAGAAACCAGGCCCCAGAGTGGCCAGACAGCCCTGCCAGTCCTTGGGACTAGTTAGGGATATTATTATTTTCCATTGTCAAATCATCATACAGTAGTTTTGAAGACACTTTAAATAGAAAATAAGCCGGGCATGGTGGCACACGCCTTTAGTCCCAGCACGTGGGAGGTAGAGGCGGGTGGATCTCTGTGAGTTCAAGGCCAGCCTGGTCTACATAGTGAGTTCCAGGACAGCTGGGGCTACAGAGAGACCCTGTCTCAAAAAGACCAAAAAAAAAAAAAAAAAAGAAAATAAACTGAACAGTAAACACAATTTATCTGAAATAAATACAATATGAGTGGTCATTACCAAGCCAGGTTCATGCACGCAGAGACTATAATAATCACATCCAAACGACCTAGCAATGGTCATTTTAAGAAGTTGTTTTTTTTTTTTTCTGTCGTTTTTTGAGACAGGGTTTCCAGGTGAACACTTTGGGGAGTCAGTTCTCTTTTCCACTGGGTTCCAGGGATCAAACTCAGATCATCAGGCTTGCACGGGAAGCACCTTTACCTGGAAAGCCCTCTTGCTAGAGCCAATTTTAGAATTTTTAAACTGCCTAAACTGAAGGTCTATCAAGTCTGATTTGTGTTCCCCAAATGCTCTTGGGTGTGGGTCCATCCCTGGAGCCTGGCCAACATACCCAGCATCACACCCTTTAAGAAAACTGACTCTGGGCTGGGCGTGGTGGCTCTTGCCTCTAGTCCCAGCACTTGGGGAGGCAGAGGCAGGTGGATCTCTATGAGTTCAGCCTAGTCTACATAGCAAGTTCCAGGCCAGCTGGGGCTACAGGGAGACCCTGTCTCATCCGCCCCCCAAAAAAAAACCCCAAACCAAAACAAAACAAAAAGCCCAACTGACTTTCCCTCTCGCAGCAGCTATCAATTACCAATACTTCTTCAATCAGGGCTGAGGCTTCTTATCCCCATCCCCCCTCAATGGTGGGTTTTTGTCTGACTTGGGCTTGCACAGGTCTTGTGCATGCTGTCACAGACACTGTGGGTTTACATGTCCAACTGCCCTGTTGGGTCCAGAACACGGTTTCCTTGCGGTCATCCGCCTCTGGTTCTTACAGCCCTTTCCTCCCTTCTTCTACAAGGATCCCGGAGCCTTGGAGAGACAGGGCATGATATGGGACCCATTTAGGATGGAGCACTGCACAGTCCCTTATTTTCTGTGTGTTGACTAATTATGGGTCTCTCTGTTAACCGCCATCTGCTGTAAGAAGACATTTCTCAGTAAGAGTTGGAAAGATGAGGAGTGGTCCTGAGGGAGGGGTGTGAATATGATCAAGATGCATTATAAGAAATTCTCAAAGAATCAATAAAATATTATCAAAACCCAAAATGTATACATATGTCAAAACATCACATTGTATATTATACCGTGATTTAACTGGTCAGTTACACCTTCGTAAAACTGAAAACAGAGACTGAAGGTGTTTTAATTATTTCTCTACAGGACGAAAGCACACTGTTAGTTCTGCGACATGATCCTGTTTTCTGTCAGTTCTGTGACATTAGAAACTATGAAATTACATTAAAAGAAGATGAAAACTGCCCAGTGTTTTGCAATCTTCTATGCAAGATTAACTGCATAATTTTGAAAAATATTGAGAAAATAACATCCAGTTTGCTTATCTCCTGCTTTTGTGAAAAAGTCAGTCTTCCTAAAAAATATCATTTGTAATTAAGCACCCAATTTTATTTAATTGTTATTTATTTATTATTTTTATTTTATGTGTATGAATGTATTGCCTGCATGTGTGTAAATGCACCTGTGTGGCGCAATGCCTGCGGAGGTCAGAAGAAGTCGGATTCCCCTGGAACTGGAGTTAGGGATGGTTGGTAGCCACCATGTGGGTGCTGGAAATCGAACCTGGGTCCTCTACAAGAGCAGCCAGTGCTCTTAATGGCCGAGCCATCTCTCTGGCCCCCAATTTTATTTTTTTAATGATCCTATTAAACACTTTTCAATTTAATTGAGAAAGTGATCAGAAATATGGTACCAGTCTAAGATGAAGCACAGAAAATAAACACAATCACCACACTCAAGTAAATATATGTTTCTGGGAATAATTTTGGACTTGATAGAGTATTTTTTTCCAAATATGTGTCTATCATGGTAGTTTGCACTGATGTGGAAGAGGGAGCAAATGGTATGTCTTGTCAGTACAAAATCAGTACAAAACAGTAAGTTGTTCACTTTTTACAGACAGATGAGCTACTGAGTCATAAAGAGCAAAATGTGGAATATTTCTGCTTGAATTACAAATGTGAAATCAGACTTTTAAATATTTCACACCATATCTAAATTTGCTTATAAAGACCAGAAGTTGAATAATAAAATAATGTGTTCTTAGTAATAAATTTTATAAGGTTAAGGCAAAAAAGCCTACCCCCAAACAAATAAACTGTTCACTGTAAGGTGCAACCAGAACGCAAGTGACAACTGGCAAAAGAGAAATGCCACAGAACTGGGGGCGAAATTCGCACTGCGACACGTGCTCGGGACGTTTAGGGCTCCTGTCCTTTTCCATTTATGTGTTTAATGTGCTTTGATCATTTTAATTCGCTGCTGCTCTCTACCTATCCTCCTCTCATTTAGAATATTTTCTTTTTTTATATTTTATTTATTATTTTTATTGTATGTGTATGAGTGTATTGCTTGCACGTATGTAAGTGCACCCGTGTTGTGCAGTGCCCGAGTGGGATCTTCTGAAACTGGAGTTACAGACGGTCATTAGCTGCCATGTGGGTGTTGGGAGTCGAATCCGGGTCCTCTGCAAGAGCAGTCAGTGCTCTTAACCGCTGAGCCATCTTTCCAGCTCCAGAAATATTTTCTTTCACTAAAATTTTATGATGATGCACAAGATAAAAAGAACACGTGTAAGAAGATTTGCAC